GACAAAGAGAAAGTTAGTGGAATCAAGCAGGCTGCATTAACAGATCTCATTCATAAGAGAAAGACTGTATTGTGTACCTCAAACTACACAGAGTACACTCAGTTCTGTACAGAGTATTTTTAAAGGAATACTGAAAAAATGTAGTGGATCCAAAAATGGAATATCCAGGATACTACTGATCTAGAATTCATACTATGAGAACCAGTGAAGGACTTAGGTATGTTCAGCCTAGAGAAAAGACAGAAAAACTATTTTTAGAAGACCTATCTAGGGCCAAAGGATGAAATTATATACTGAACTGACATCTCTCTTATAAGAATTTTATTTTTTATCAATTATTATAACTGACATAATTTATACCATTAAAGAAAAAGCTTATCTATTACAGTTCTAATTCTAAAACTCTGAGGGTTAAAATAAAATCAGTATAGATCAATTAAAAAATTGACTTTTAGGGGCTTCTAGGTGGCTCAGTCAGGTAAGCAGCCGACTCTTGGTTTTGGTTCAGGTCATGATCTCAGGGTTGTGAGATCGAGCCCCGCATGGGCCTCTGCGCTCAGTGGGGAGTCTGCTTAAGATGCTTTCCCTTCCCCTCTGCCCCTCTGTGTGCTCTCTCTCTCAAATAAATAAATAATATTTAAAAGAACTGACTTTTAGAAAATTTCAGTGTATTTTACTAAGTTGTCTTATTAAGGATTTGGAGGACAATCTGCATTTAAGTTCTGACAAGAGGGCATTAAATACAAGGGACATAAAGAAATAACTTGAGACAATTTAAAGAAAATGAAACTGAAAAATATTTTAAGAAATTTATCTATTGGATATAACAGAAAGCATGAAACTGATAGTCTAGACAAAAAAGTCAGGTGTGACTGCTGACAACTTGACATATATCTATTTCAATTCTGCATTCAATTTATTCCTGTTTTATATGGAAATCACTTTGAAAACTCAATTTCAGACAATAAGATAGTGGCAAAGGACAAGACTGCATTGAATAGTCTAGGGATGTTACTATTGTATTTATGCTTAGAACCTGAAATCCCTATTACAGCAGAATTTATTGTATTTGTATGTTTATTTCCTATTTTAATTAAGGCCTGTGCTATTAAATTTTGCCTTGTTTTCATTTTCCTAAGAAAACATCAAAAGTAACTTCATAAATAAGAAATTCCCTATTATTATTCTTTGAATCATCCATCTTGAACTGAGAAGTTGTTCAGGGTAGGAAAATAATGACTCCAACTCCTTTCTATAATTTTGGCACTAAAATTCAAATTTTATGCCTACAATTTTGTTGAGAGCAGAAACACAGCCTTGCACAGACAGAAGATCAGGCTTAATAATTTAAATTATTCTTTTTTTTTTTTTTTTTAAAGATTTTATTTATTTATTTGAGAGAGAGAGAATGAGAGACAGAGAGCATGAGGGGGGAGGGTCAGAGGGAGAAGCAGACTCCCTGCTGAGCAGGGAGCCCAATGCGGGACTCGATCCTGGGACTCCAGGATCATGACCTGAGCCGAAGGCAGTCGCTTAACCAACTGAGCCACCCGGGCGCCCCAATTTAAATTATTCTGTTAAACACATATATGTCAAACATTAAGACTTTAAGGATAGGAACAACTGGCATTTGATTAAACACTAACTCTCAGAAAGAGTAGTTATTTGAACAATGACTGAAAAATGGCTGTGGCACTTTGTAAATTTTCTCTATGTTCATAAACCATAGAATATACCCCTTTAAGAGCTTAGATTTGATATATTTAACTGAATTAATATCAATTGGTCGTTTCGTAAATTTGCAAACCTTCTTTACCACCAAATGCTGACAGTACCTAGCACCCTTAAAATTTTTTTGATTGTAAACATTGCTTACTACTAATCCAAGTGCCAAAAGAGCAATTTGTTCTTTTTATCTCCTTTGGCACAAATCTTTCTCCCGGAAACATTCACATTATAAAATTATTCAAGATAATTAAAATTTCCTCATGAGTGCCACAGGTAGACAGCATTTTACCTAAGAGTAATTTTCAATCACAAGTATGTTAAAAATAGGATATTCAGCTATATTTAGTGACTCATACCAAAAGCATTACATTTTCACTGAAAACAACAGATTTTATATCATCTGCCATTATTACTTACTGCCCTACTCATTACAACATTCTGATTTTTTTTGTAGTACTTTTAGACAGTCCCATATTTATATTATTTTTTTTTTTTGAAAGATTTTACTTACTTGAGAGAGAGAACATGGGGGAGGGGGCACTCTGGGGCCCTTGATCCCAGGGCTCTGGGAACATGATCCTGGGATCCTGACCTGAGCTGAAGGCAGATGCTTAACTGACTGAGCCACCCAGGTGCTCCTACATTATTTATAATTCAAGAACTGACACTATTTTCTAATATAGTATGATTACATTTCTAAAAACTTATCTGGATAGTCCAATGTGAGAGATAATTTTTTGTCATTTCTATTTATTAGACTAGTTCTTGATAGTAGGCAAATAATAAGTCTCCTGAATTACAAGGTAACTTATTTCCATGACCTTTTTTTATAGGACTAAAAATGACAGTCCTGAATGAATTTTCTGCTTTATCTTCTGTTTCTTATTTAGAAAGTCAGTGTCTTAAAATTTTTGTTGTTGTAGATTAAAAAGAAGCAATGATCTTAACTGTTGACAGTGCATCTAAAGGTGTTATTTCATTTAGCACCAAATGATATATCTAGTTATTTTAAGTTTATATAACAGAAATACATAATTTAAGTACCTAAAACTGCAACATAGAAAAACCAAAACACCGCTCAAAGAAGAAAAAGTGGGAAAAAAAGGAAATATGATGATTTCTGAATGTTTAATGTTAAGTAACAAATATATAAAATATATAAAAATGAACCCAATATATAAAAATGAACCGAAAACACTGCAATTATTTAATTCTGACAGCATCAAATATATGAAACACCAATATTCTACAACTTCTGGAATACCCACATTCCACAGGTGGGGAACAGCTTAAAAAATATCCCTTTCTTAAAGAAAGAATGGCATTAAACAAACATAAGAGAATGACAGAAGAGGGGATATACACACATAATCATAACCATAATCATAATCACTATCATTATGTACCTATTTTTTGGGGTACTGTTTAATTGGAAAATCACCATTTTAATAACTCAGATTAAAGAGAACTCCAGACATACTTCCTAGAACAGACAACAGAAAGCATTCCAATTATAAAATATAGCAAATGAACCTATCTTTAAAAGATGCTGGACATTATCCAAGAAAGCCTGTTTGCTTAGAAGTTTATAAAGGAGATGAAATAAGATTAGGAATGTGATGTTATCTATGCTTATAAATCTGTTAGGAGTGAAATGATACCTATTTCTTTTTGAAAAGTTGACTGCTCCCCGGTCCACAGTAGGAGTGCAATACCAATCAAAAAGATTTCTTTTTCTAAGAGTTAAGCTGAAGTAAAACTGAGTTGGCTTCCAAGGGACCAATTAAGGAACTTATGCCAGGGCTATATGGGATTCTTTGGGGATTTGTAAATGTTTCCATTCTAGTTTTCCAGAGACAAAAATATAAAAAGGAAAAAATTAAAGAAGTGACCTGTGGTTTTTGACTACTACTCTTCAAACTGGCTCATTAATAAAAGTTTTCAATATTTAATTGATTTCTACCCTAAAAACTATTTACTGAGTTCAGTGGCTGATCTTCTATGATCATAAGGTCACTCCTCAACACATATACATTATTTACCAAGTCACTAATGCAATGGTATTATAGATGAGGTAAGAGGAGAATCTGATGCACTAGTTTTCACTTAAATGGGGCCATTCTTCAACATCAAGGACAGAAAACAGATGCACTTGAGTTTCTTTTATTTAGAGATATAGAATTAGCTCAAGGAATAGATAGAAATGAATCTTTTTGGTAACTGATATCCGGAAAATAGTTATCATCTTGCATAGTTATGATGACCTTGATTTGAGAGTTTTTCTACGGGTATGACATTAATTTCAGCTAACCTGTAAGAGTTTTTCCCTTAGAATTTTTAAGTTTCTCGGGGCACCTGGATAGGTCAGTTGGTGGTTAAGCGTCTGGCCTTCTGCTCAGGTCGTGACCTCAGGGTCCTGGGATCGAGCCCCACATCGGGCTCCCTGCTCAGCAGGGAGTCTGCTTCTCCCTCTGCTCATGCAGGCTCTCTCTCACTCTCTAATAAATAAAAAGTTTCTCAAAAGTTATATCAATCAGGGTAAAAATGTTTCTTATTCTCAGAAAGGTGTGCATGTGCATATATCAAAGGAAGGAAAAGTGATTGCCTTCCTGGTTTTTCCTACCTTCTGAAGTTTAAAAGTTAAATTTTAAGTATCTCACAAAAAAGTCTGCAGTGCAATCTAGTGAAATGCAAAAATAAATAAAAAAACTATTTTTCAAGTGAAGAAAATACTTCCAATTTATAAAACCATAAAATAACTGTAAGTCTGATTAATGATGATAATAAAAAAGATAATTAGTTATGTATAAATTCATTTGAAGGAAAAATGTTTAAAATTGTGATTCTCAGATTTAGAGATGATAGGGCCTGGCTGTAAAATACTTCTCAAAATCAAAACTTACCCAAAGCAATGGCATTATTCTCGCTCTAAATTGGATTAAATTAATATCAAACTTCAATGTGTAGGAGGTAAGGGGAGGTCAGAAAGTTGTCAATCTAGGGGTGCCTGGTTGGCTCAGTTGATTAAGCGTCCGACTCTTGATTTCGGCTCAGGTCATGAGATCAAGTCTTGCATCAGACTGAGCATGCGAGCCTGCTTAAGATTCTCTCTCTCCCTCTGCCCCCCCCACTCCCCCACTCGCTCTAAAAAAAATGTTGTCAATCTAGGATAGTAGGAAGAATTTCAGAAATAAAGCAAAACCTGTAACCAAACACTTTTTATAGCAATGACCGAGGTTAATACTAAATATTAACTGAGAGTTAATACTTACAAGGTAAGAATTGCTGGGCTAAGTAGGGGGACTGTTTTATTATGGTCTTCATTTTATCATTATTAAACCTAGGGAAAAAATAAGAGTGAAGACTTTAAAAATTTGATCACATTATTTAATTTAGAAAAATTTCAACTGGGGTTGATAATCACGGTTTTCTGATATAACACAATCACAGATTATAAACACCCAGCAGCATTTGTATATTTTAGTCTGGAGTGTTATCATTAGTTTTTTAAATTCACTTTTCTATTACTATTACCTTCTCAAAATTTAAAAGTCAAATATTTAAGTGCAACTAAAACTCATACTTCAGTGTCTAACTTGGAACACACTGAGTTTCTAGAGGACATCATATAATTGCAGATATTTTAAGATAAATTCAAGATCATACCTCAAGATTGACTAGTCTCTCTCTCACGCACATAAATACACACATGTATACAACTGCAAAGTCTAAAAATCCATATATTGTCCAAGAATTCTACTGTAATAACAGTATAAATACAGAGCTTAAGTTGGAGTTTCAAATGCTTAAAGAAATGTCTGAAAATAATGTTATGATCTATACCCATAACAAAAGAAAATACTATTATGAAATTGCGTGAAAAGTGGAATGGTAGTGATAAGAAAAATTGTTTCCAAGGTTGTCCTTTATTTACAAGAGTAGGAAGTATTAAAAGCCAGTATGCAGGGGCACCTGGGTGGCTCAGTCTTTAAGTGTCTGCCTTTGGCTCAGGTCATGATCCCAGGCTCCTGGGATCGAGCCCCTCATCGGGCTGTCTGCTCAGCGGGAAGCCTGCTTCTCCCTCTCCCACTCTGCCTGCTTGTGTTCCCTCTCTTGCTGTCTCTCTCTCTCTCTCTGTGTCAAATAAATAAATATTAAAAAAAAAAAAAGCTAGTATGCAAAGAAAGGAAACATTACAGCTTATCTTTAAAAATGAAAAAATTTAAAAATATCCTAACTTAAACTGGTTAGAATGTTTACTTTCTGTGGGCCATGACTGTAAGTTGTAGTTCTTACACCAACTAATGCTTAAGCACTTAATACAGAATAAAGTAGAATAAACTCATCGATGCTTTTAATGGAGCATTCTAAGTACACATCTTATTGTAGAATATCTTCACCAAAATAAAGACAGCACATTTTTTGATATATTTGAAAAAATATTTCAAATCCATGGAAAAAAATCAAGACAATACCAAAATGAATCCCCATATCCTACCCCTGGCCCTCTGACCGAATTCTAATATTCTGCCATGCTTATTTTATGTGTCTTTTTTTAAGAAAAAAGACAATACATATAGTTGAATCCTTTTTGTACCATACCCTGATCCCATTCTCCTCTCTCTTAACATAAAATCACAACCTTGAATTTGGTATTTATTTCCTATGCATGCTTTTACACCACTACTATTGTAAATTTAAAACATTTATCATTGTTTTCAAGCTTTATTTAAATGTTATATCATATACACACTTTATATAAATGTTATTATACAATATATAACCTTTTGCGCTTGTTTTTGTTTGCTGAAGACATTCATTCATGATCATACACAGAGCTCTCACTTTAATAGCAGTATAATAAACAGTTTATCATATGACTATGCCACAATTTGGCATTCTCCTGTTGCTTAATGTTTACAGTGCTTTTGATTTTTTCCTATTAAAAATAAAAGTAAACAAGACTTTGCTATACATGTCTCAGCTTTTTTAGAACATCTAGGAATGGAATTGTTGGGTTCAAGCCTATGTATATTCAATTTTACTCAGATAATGTCAGATGCTCCCACAAGGAGCATTTTCTCCAATATTTGAAAGTACATTTAAGCAAAATAGCTACTATCTAAAGGAATATTTTCAAAATTCTTAAGTGATCAAATCCTTCTGTTTTTATCAAGTGTAGGTCTAACATAGGTATACTAAATGTTCTAAACAAAAGAGACTAAAATTTGCCCCAAGGTACTTGCACAAAAATAAACCTCTCATGATACAGATTTTCTTCATATGATTGAGGAAATACCAAGACTTAATCTAGAACTACTGTGGTAGAAATGATAAGATTCAGAATTAGTTACTGAGCTTAGATCCACAATGACCAAAGAGAGCAGGGACGGGGGGAGCAGAAAATATAAATGGTTTATTACTGTGAAGAATCCTCCCCCATTTCATTCTGGGCAGTGCTCCTCACATGTGGTGCTTCTAAAAAAACTCACTTGGAGCTTGTAAAAAATACAAATTCCTGAGTCCCGGGGCTCCAGAGAATCTGATTCAGCAGGTCTGGTAAAATGCTTTATTCTAAGTTATTCTGATACAGGTGGTCCATAGACACTTAATGTAGTAATTCATAGTAAAAACAAGGTGTTTTAAATATAAAGGATTTTGCAACTCACTTTTTAATTAAGAGCAGGCAGCTAATTAAAATGTTATCTGTTAAATGACAACATAAATTACATCAAACATCCTAGTATTAGCAAAAAAAAAAGTAATTTCAATTTATGGTTGAATATGTTTGACTTCACATTAGACCAGGTTTTAGGCTCATTTATTATTTCAGATAACTAAACACATACAACAAAGCCTGTTTTGATAGTATTAGGAGGAAATTCATATTCTGAGTTTGCTGTTATTGGTAATGGAAAACATTAAGAGTGGGAATGATTAGTTGTGATTTTAATGAAGGTGACCAAGGAAAAACAATGATTACCTTTTTAAAAGAATGCTACTGCAAATGTCAAGACTTTAAAATGGGACATTAGACTTATAAACTAAAATAAAATGTCATTTGTAGTTTCCTGACTAGAATGCTACAAATGAAATCAGAACTATGAGAACAGCAATCTAATATTCACTTCCCTGTAACTACAACCTATTGTAATTTTATTTAGATACATAAGATGAGAAAAATGCACAGATATTTAGGTTATGCAAATGTGTGCAGATTCAAGTTGTAAAAATAAAAAAAACACAACCCTTTTGTATCATTTGATATTACAAAGCCCTATTTCCGAAAGATTTAGAATAATCTGAACTTCCAGATATAAAGTTCAGATATACAACATTATTTTAATAGTCAGAAAAAGTAAAGACTTAATGAGTTTCCAGCTGCAGCCTGCTTTGTCTTTAAGTACAACACTAAGCAGCATGGGGTATTCTTTTTTAGTTATAGTGAAATCAATAAGAATTTGGTCTTGTTTAGACTGGGCTATAAAACAAAGATAATACAGGCTCAGAATATGGCTCCAAAGTGAAAGAAACACTCCTGTGTGGCCATAGTCAACTTTTCTTTTCTTACTCTAACACCTAACTTGTGTTCTCAGTAACTAATAATTTTTTCAATCTATCAGCTTAAAAGTAAAAAACATGAAACATACCATACATACTTCCAGAAGCAAGATGGTTTTCCATTCAAACAGATGGAATTAACTGATTAAAAATTAAATGAACTAAAATCACAGAGTAAATAATAGAAAATAATACAAAGTCTAAGAACTATAAGCAACTACTGTTTTCTTTATGCAGCTTTGGGAAGAAAGTACCTTTTAGTCAAAGAATGTATTCATTATACTATATATGGGTTATAATGACAGTTGGGCCCTTCCTACCTGGTCTGTAAAAGCTGGTGGGTGCAGGCTCCTTTGGCCACCATTATTGCATATTGATGCTATTCTGTATAACAGCTGACAAGCAGTAGCAATCTCCCAGCCCCTGCACCCAGCTGTAAGGGACAAGAACAAGGGCTGTGGTGATACTTGTTTATTCATTGTTGTTGCTACTGCTGCTAAAGCAGCAAGCTAAGAAAAGCATATGCAACTGACACAGAAGACAAAATGGTTCTAGTCCAACCTACCTAGCAGGTCGGCTTTCATCACTATATGATAAAATTTTCTAAGGAGAAATTTTTTCGTTAAAGTAGGATGGGAAGAGAAGAAAAGACAAAATTAGCGTTTTGATCAGAAAGGGAATCTATAATGTATCTAAGGAAAAAAATTAATGACACATGTAATGATCTTCAGCTCCTAATTTAGATTTAGATTTAAATTAAAACTCTTCTCAGAAGAGTTTTCACCAGGTTTGGCATGAATTCATAAATTCATATAATCTTTCCTATCCATTCTACTGGAAAATAAGTACCTAAACTTTAACCAAGAAATGAAATTATATTTTGCTTATAAAATGTTCCAGGCTCCCAAGTTCCACGTATCTAATCATCACCATATGTTTGACATCAGACCCTATTAACAAAGAAATAAGATTTAGCCCATAAAAATTTTTTAACAAAAACTCCAACTATTAAAAAAATTCCCACATGTAATTTATCTACTTTAAATGTGTACTACAAAGCTAAAAACTTAGTAAGTACGTAAGATCAATGATGAGTAACATAGAAATATTTATTCTGCCAAATTAAATTTAAATGGAATGCTATTTATGGACTTATAACTTCAATTTTAAATGCAATCCTTATCTTTTAATACCTTAAGCAATTTTTGATTCTGAAAAATATTTAAAAAGTCAGAAAAATTAGGACATCTATAAATTATTTTTTAAAATGCTAGAATTGGCTTATAAGTCTACATAAGATCTAGTCAAGAAGGCTAGATTTAGGATTTATTAAAATAAAAGTATAAAATACAGTAATATCAAAAATTCAGATCAAAATATTTTGGAAAAAAAGGGGAAAAAACCAATCTTTTATTTTTATCAAAACTGCAAAAACAATTGTTCTCCTTAGCAGCAGTCCAAAAACAAATAATGCCAATAAAAGAAATAATTCTGAGGATCACAGGATAACAAAATTACTACTTTGATTATGAAAGCCACAGAATGAAAAAACACTGACAGCAAATATCAAAAAAGGATTTTTAAAAATTAAGACATTAACAAAACAGTAATAAATTAATAAACTATTAACCAGTGGATTAATCAGTCTTAGGAACTATATTTGAAATATGCTACAAGTTTCTCTTCCAAGTGACTCTAATCATGAAACAAGAAAGTAAAACTAAGTCAAATCATATATGTTAATGAAATATCAAGTGTGGTTTGTGGTGCTAAGGACTGAATTTCTACTTCAAAATATTTACTGAAAAATTTAAATCATCTCATTAATTAATGCCTTTTGAAGATGCTTAGAAAATAAAATTCTGAAAAGAAAAAAACAGATTAAGTATATATTTTATTTGTTGGCCAAGAAACAACACAAAATACACACAAAATTGCTTCGAACATTTAAAAAAAATTTAAGAAAGTTAATTGTCTATTCTTTAATGAATCCTCAGCAACATTACAAAATTTCAATAAAGGAAGCTGTTACAGCTAAGAAATTGCTTAAAATATGTTGTCCTTATAAACTAGAATTATACATCAATGACAAATAATGAATAATTTCAAGTCCCTTCACATGTAGGCATGTTAAATTACTTCTATTCTAGTTTATCCAAAATATTCTTTCCCCCTAAGAAAATCTATTTCAACAAAACAGGAATACTGACAGTATAACTGTATTTTAGGAACAATCAAGAATTTTTCCTGAAAATGAATGTTATTTAACCCGGAAAGTCCATTTAACCAAAAATATAAATATTGCACAAATAAGAAGTCTATCATTGAAAAAAAAAATAACACAGTAAATCCTTTCCTCCAAATCTTGACATAGTAAACTACTTATCAAGGCTTAGTTAGATATAATCAGGTTTGCAAATTTAAGTAGAAAATGTCCTTTGAGGGGTAGTTAAAGGCTAGCCAGTCACACATAGCAGTAAAAGCCTTTATTAACCTGTCTTCTAAAATAACACATACTACTAATTAGGTTTAAGTTTCTTACCCTGTAAAAGCTGACCAAATACAAGAAAACTATTAATATCTGCATCAGGTCTCTTAGATGTTAAATTATTTAGGAAGCTAAAAATCTGGAAGTTTATAAGCCAGTGTACAGCTATAGAGGCATGATTTTATGATGCTAAATACTTGTGTTCAAGCAGTAAGTTTTGACAACTTCAAAGATCAAAAATCATAAACACTCTAAATTAGAAACAACTCTGTGGATTTATGTCTTTATTTAAAATATGAACTCAAAAGCTATTTCTCTTCCTCCATTTAACAGTAGGCTGGTGTGTAAAAGATATCTGGATTGAAAGTGATAAATTGAATCTAGTTTTTTTTTTTCCCCAGACACTCAGAAACCATATTTTTCACTTTTCATCTTAACGTTGTCTAATCTGAAAATCAATGGTTAAATTAGAGGGGGAAAGTTGTATTCATTTTCATCCTATTCAAACTAAGCTGCTTTTTCATAACATTCTCAAATCTAAGTTATGAAGACGTTCTATAACTTATATTTATCTCAAACAGTATAGTGACACTTTACAGTATGACACCAATACTTGAAACTTCACCCTTACATTAAACTGAATTTCTATTAAATTTTAATATTTTATTTAACATTAACTGTTAATGAATTCACATTCTTGGATTATCTAATATCTAATAATAAATATCAAATATTAGTTTAATATTTTGATATATATCTCAATGTTCAAACACACATTGGAGAATTTGTTTGAAAAAAACTGAACGTTGTTTAAAGATATAAGCAGTTCTATGACCACAATTACACTTCACTCTTAAGACTAAATTACATTTTTCTTAAGAAAACAAATCTTTATCTCCCGTATCTTAAGTATATAAAGTAAATATTTTTAAGTGAAAAAAAATTTAAAGAAAAAATTGTAGTATGCTTTATTTTAGTAGACCTCACTTTAGCAAATAGTTTTTTTAAAAAAAAACATTATGGTTAATACTTTATCATGTGACTAATATTTTTACCATGGAAAAATTAATCAATACTTAGTAATATTGTTCAATAAATTCATTTACATTATACCAGATCGCTATTTAGCAATCAAAATTTTTATTAGGTGAGTATCTGAAACTTTCAACTAAAACTATAAAAATCAAAGAAAATAAATATACTAGAAAAGTGGCTCTTATGATAAAGTATTTTGGAGGTAAAAATAAGTTACTGGAAGTTTTGGCATTCTACATTTTTAGAGTTTGCAATTTTTGATATGAATAATTTAAATATTGTACTCAGAGTACCTATGAGTAAGATACTAGTTTCTGCTTTAGAAAGTGGGTTTTTCAGTTTCAACCAAAATGCCACTTTTGGTTAGGATGGTATTTGGAATACTCTAAATTCTCTTAAAATAGTCTCATTAATCTTATCTTATAGGCTCTACCTATCACTATACCTCTCAAAGAGCCAAGCACCAAATTCTATTTTAAATCTTCCATTTTAAGATGAAAAGTCCACTATTTAATTCTTCTATATATATAACAGTGTAATTACCTTAAGAAAAATCACTATATGTACTTATTTTTAGAATAAATTCAGTTGGAACTGGACCTAATAAAACATGATGAGAATATCAATTATATCTAAAAATCTGCAGTTTTAATAAGCAAGAGAAGTCCACCTTGGCCACTTCACAGATTTCTATTAATAATAAATCTTTATTGATTTTAGCTCACTTAAAAGTTCTAGTTTTACTGTCTAGTTCAATTATATTGCAAAGATATAAAATAGTATGCTTTTAAAATTCATTAGTATACCTTAATCTCCTATCATGTTCCAATGCATTATGTGAGTGTTCAATCAAAGAAGTTAGGTTGTTCTCCAGAATTGGCTCTCTCCTAAAGGTCAAAACCTGCAATAAAAATGTCATGTATTATAGCATGAAGACACTCAACAGATTTCCGCCTCCTGTAGTTCCACAGCTGATCCCTGAACACTGAGGTAAAATCTTCAAAATGACCCCAATCTTGCCTGTGTTCAAAGAAAACCTAACTTGAAAATAATGTTTTTAAGTAGAAATAACTTGATTAGAAACACCTGTGATATGCTTTATCATCTAAAGCCTCTTCAAACAAATCAGATTAATATGTTTCTGCTTTCATTTCTCTTTAGGGCATTCATTTTCAAAATTGTGGTGTGTGTGTGTGTGTGTGTGTTCATTTTCAAAATTGTGGTGTGTGTGTGTGTGTGTAGGTAAGTGTTGGAGAACTGTTAAAGGGGACTCCATAAGGAATATATCAGAAATATAGTTTGTGCTTCTAAAACTCATAAAATCCACAGTTAAAAAGACTATTCAAAGGACAGAGATAGATTTTTAACTACCTTTCTCCCCAAATCATCAAACATTCTGATGACAGAAATTACCATTATTCTTAAGTTTTGTCTTTTGCCTTGCCCGAGTGAACAAATTATACTGGTATTTCCAAATATTTTAAGACATTACAGTTCTAACAGAACAAAATTTACAATTAACTTTTTAAACAAAATATTTATAAGTAACAAGTGGATGACTATTGGATCAATGGTTTTTTACTATTTCCAAGCAGACGTGGTGTAATCAAGTGTATACAAGTGGCTTCTTCATTTGTTTCACCTGAATCTTAATGATTTAGTGGCAACTATCTAAAATTATAAAGTTAAATTACCAAAGGCTTATAACATACTATATGTTAACCATAATGCTCAGTTTTCCACTTTTATTTAAGAATAGCTTAGGAAAAGAAATGAAAACCAAAACCTTTAATCCTCTGCTGCCAAATATTTGATTGTTTAATGACAAAAACCACACATATGTAACTCACAAACACCAATCCAAATACCATGACACTTTGAAAAATTAAAATCATTTCTACATAGTCTTCCTCAAAAGACACAAAGTTTTCTGTATTTGAGCACTCTGAAAATTAAGGTATTGTAACTTTAAAAATCACAGAAGGGTAACAGTAGAAACCAGTATGTACTCCATGCCAAATGTTAAGTTTTTAAATAGCAGGAAAACAACAAATACTAGATAATAAAGAACAAAAGAGGTTCGGATATAAGACAAATATTAAACCAAATGTATAAGAAATAAAGATGTAAAAAAACCCCAAAATAGTATAATTCGATGTCAGATCTATTACAAAATACAGTTTATTATTTATACTTAGAATCCAGTGCAAACTCTTTCCAGTGCAAAGATTTTTTAGTGAAACAAGACAGGAATAAACCAAAGTATATTAAACTTCTCATAATTTGATAAAAAATGTTAAGAATAAAATTCATATATATATATTTAATGTCAATTTCAATATTTGAAACTTGTCTTTGTAAAAGGAGATCCTAAAAGGAGGCAGACAAGAAGGGGGGAAAAAGGCAAAAGAAAATCATTTCCCTATAAGAAAGCAATATTTATATGAAGGCTTTACAATTACTTGTATATGCAAACAAGTATGTAAACATGTATTAGTAATGTGATATTTAAAACTGATGTTACTCTTATAATATTAAGACAATCACGACTTTAAAGTTCTAATACTATCACCTGTAAAAACTTAAAGCAAAATGGCTTAATCTAATTTTCTTCACTTATTTGAAAGAAAGCGGTGGTTATTACTATTTCCTTTGGTCTTAAAGAGATTTGGGGCTACCAAATTTCAGCAAGTCATAGTTTGAGCCTAATTACATGCCAAAATTAGTTGCCTGGACAAAGTGTTTCTAAGTTTGTTGAATAAAAATTAATAACAGGAAGAAATAAAACTACATGTAAATGAATACTCTAGTATGACAATTCTAAGAAGTGTTTTCTAGTTATAAGACCAATAATGTTTCTTCCAAACAAGGGTTAAAAAAAAAAATCAGTGTGGGAATTATTAAGCTTCACTAAACAAAAGGAAAAAAAGACAAGAGCAAATTTTAGGCCACTAATTTTTTTAAATGAGATAAATTTTTATAGAATTAACTTCCAAATTGTGTCTTATTGATTTGATTGGAGAAAACTTATGTATGTAGAAGAAATATCTAATACAGTCTCTGGGCATTTATTTCTTCTTTTTGTAAACCAAATTAACTGAACACTATCAATATTTCTGGATGGAAGTATATTGTGACATTCTGAATAGTTACTGCATACCAATAAACAGAAATGTGTATTTATACACATCTTCACAAAACAAAAACCAAACAAAAATGTAGTACACAAAGCATGATGAAACAGGGGATCCAGAATACGAAAGCTATTTTGAAATTTTCATCCTTAGTTCCAGTTCTTGGTAACGTTAAAAGTGATATTAATCTGATTACAAAAAATGCGGTTTTACATGCAAACACCTGAAGCTACATTTTGTAAATGTACAACTAAGAGAAGTTAACAGCACTAAAACAAAGTCTAAAACTGCACTTTTATTTGAGGTTTTAAAAATACTATGAAAGGCAAACAAATAAAAATCAATGCTACCAGGAAGACTAGCACCTTACCTTCTCTAGTTCCCTCTCCCTCACATTATATAAACACAGCTTTTCAAAAGAGTAGAGCTACTGTAGCAACACCTTTCCTCACCATTGTTTTCCAGTGATATGACTTTTATAGTCCTCACAATAGAAAATGAATTATAATTATCAATTTCCACAGAGTAATATGGATAATACACATAATAAAATACATCTGTTGGATCTCACGCCTACATGCCCACAAATCTAAAAACCCAAATCTTCCTCTTATCTAGCATCACATAAAAGGGAAAATATTTTGAATGCTGTGGATTTTATTTAGGTGCTAGTGCATTCTCAAGCTTTAAGTGCAGTAGTTTAAATAAAGGAATCTTTCACTTTTTTAAAAAATGGCTTATTAAACAAAACAATCCTTCACCATCACCCCTCAAAACAAACAAAAAAACCCCATAAACCAAAGTACTAAAAAAGTATGGTTAAATTTAACCAGCCTGGTGGAATTTAAAGCCTCCCCCCACCCCACCCTCAAAACTCTACAAGTCACATAATTTGAATGAAAATTAAAACACAAAACCCCAAATAACAGTAAAAAAGCAAAACCCACTAGATCTGGTATCATAGGTAAAATTACATGTACAATAGAAATGGGGTCTCCTACAACTTCATTAAGTCAAATTTCATAGAGAGGATAATTAGCACCTTTCATGAAATTTTCATGAGATGATTCAAAATAAACAGCTTTGAAAAAAGGTAATGAACAAAGATTCTGTAATTGCAATTCCTGTTATAAAGGCAATACAAAATAGTATGATTTATAAATTCAGCTATTCCACTCAATATAAATTATATTTATAGCCCTACAGAGATTTATAAAAGTCATGGGATCTTTTCATTTGAGTATTTTCTAACAATGCATATTTGATCTAATGTGAGAATATAAACTGTAAGTTTCAAAATTTCAACCGCTATTCATAAAAGAACATTAATTTCTATTAAATTAAAAAAATCTTTAAAAAAGCATCTACAGCTATCTTATTTATCACTGAGTTTACCGATTTTCTTTGAAAACCACACCCGCCTTTTATCAAGATGCAATTAAACGGAATGACAAGCTTGGTAATAAATAGAAATATATTGACGGCTGTCTCAAGCAACATTAAACAAAAATCAACTGAAAACCAACCAAGTAAGACACAACACACCGACACTGTTTTATGCAATATATTTCTTCACAGTGAATTTATCAAAGGAATGAAATCATACATAGGCACCTGTGCATACTTACCTGTTGTACTGTATAATTAAGCAACGTAAATTTCTTGTAAATTAAGTTTTAAGTCCACAGCAATGGCTGAATTAGCAAAACCCATGTATTTTAAGTTAGATGTGAAAAAAAATTTAAATACACCAATTTTTATGGGCAATGTGGAGAAGCTCATTCCTAAGAAAATTAAAGTTTCTTTTCATCAAAATAAAAGAAACAATTCTCCCGTAATCTGCATCGAATATGTAGCTTAAGCTGAAAATTTTTTGTTAAAGAAATAAAAAACCTAGATCGTACAGTTTTTAACCAAAAGAGAACAGGGGCAAATACATAAAAGTCTTGCAATTTCAGCCAGCAGAATTACATTTTTTAAGAAAACTGCCTCCTCAGTTTTACTTTTAATATACATTTCAGAACCATTCGAAAGTCCTTTATGGAAGAAAAAAATATTAAATCCCAGCTTCCCCCCTCCCAATCCCCGTCTTAACGTTTCCTATTTCCGTGGTTCTCTAAAAGTAAAATTTTTCGGAAAGTCGAGAATTGTAATCTAGTGTTCAACATTCAAACCCCCTCCAGTCCCGCTCTCTTCCAGCCAATCAGGGGGGGTAACAAGTCCGGTGTTTTGGGAACTCCGTTAGATAAAATTTGAAAAACATCACATTGCGCTCCCCTATTCTCCTCGGGGATAGATTCTAAATGAGGGCGGGTCCTCTAGTCTTTATAGAAATAAGAAATCGATCAATCGTTACATCAATTCCAGGAGGAAAAACTCTTTAGGCAGGTGGTCCTAAAGAGTGTGAGACTGCGGTTCCCAGAAAGCGTTATTCCTCTTTGCGAACAATTGAAAAGCTGCTGCAAAACCCATCTCCTGCACATTCGCAACCCAAAGCCGCGCACCCCACACGCAAAACACCACACCAGTAAAGGGTTAATCAGTGGTGCCTTCAGCGCCGAAAAAGACACAAAACCTAATATATCTCTAATGAGGAATTTTTACAAAGGCCATTATTTATAAAGTACTACTTAAAGTTAAAGCCGTCGCTGGCCCAAATCATTCAAGAGTTGTCGACTAAGAATTGGTAGAAACTATGAGGATAAAAAATCACTAAAGGGAAAGACAAATAACAGCCCTCTTCCCTCCGCCTCAGAGTCAAGAGAGTTCTCGAGAAAAGGTGGGGATTGCAAAATTACCGTTAAGTTGTCCGGGCTAAGACTTTTCGGGAGGAAAACATCAATAGTTTCACAGATTGCTTTTATCCTTGCGACATGTTTCAAAGACTGGAGAAGGAAAAAGTCTTCTAAGAAAAGTGCAACTGGGTGAAGGAAATTGCAAGCTCGAAACCCTGTCTCCCCCCGGCCCCTCCCCGAATAAAACAACACCGTGAGAGCAAATGACAAAAATCCCGAGCAAAAAGCGAAAGTCCAGCATCTTTCCTAGGAGCCCGCTAAAACCTCAAAAGTCTGCCCCCGCCCTATCTCACCCAAATTGGAAAAGCCAGACACCGTCAGGGTTATCCCTGCCGGGACCGAGGAGCGCAGAGCCGGAGAGCTACGTTGTGAAACTCACATTCCTAGGGCACCTCACACTTCAGCATCAAGCACAATATACGGTGCTGGGTCCCGCGGACGATAAGTCCGCACGACGGACTGGAGGCACCCGCCACTCCGGGTTAATTTTCTGCCGACCTTAAGTTTCATGTCACCAGAAGACGGCAGTCAGCGGGCCGGGAAAACTGCGATAAAAGACCGCTCGGTTCGGCAAATGGGGGAGGGGACGCTCGTCCCCCTTCTCCTGTCAAGGGGCCGCGGCCTGCGGAGCCCCGCCGCGCCCCGGGCGGGGGGTCCGGCTGACAGATCCGCTGGGCGGCGGCTGCTCCGCCGCAGCCCGTCCGCGTCCCGCTCAAACTGCAACTCCCCTCCCCCCACGCCCCCGTCTCTCCGCGCTCCCGCCACATTCCACCCGCCGCCGCCCACTCCCAGACACCCAATTACCCCCAACCCCATCTCCTCGCATTTTTAGCCATTAAAATGAGGGCGGACCTAGTGCCCACTCCCTGCACCCCCATCGCCTGACGGTCCCACCGCTGCCACCTCCCAGGTCCCGCTATTACTTCTTCAGGTTCTTACCGTCTGCGGCAACCCTGGCGAAGCCCCACAGACTGCCCTTTGCTCGAAGTAATTTTTGGCGATTTTTTTAGCGATTTTTCAGCGGAGTCCTAATAGCGCTATAATCTCGGACAGGTTATCCCGTCTCTCCCACTAGATTGATGAGATCAGGCATCACTCGAAAATGGCGCCGAAAGCGCTGAGGCTCCTCATTCAAATTCGTTAGAGCCAACCCCGCCGCCCCGGGGCATGCCGGGAACGCGGGCTGCCTCCACAGCTGTCAATACCGCCTCCGAACCCTTCTCCAGCTTTCCCGACACTTCTGCTCATGCGCAAACTCCTACCAACCTCCGCGCCTTGAACATGCGCAGAATCGTCGCTGTTCGCCGCTCTCACTTCGTTTCCTCAGTCTCACTCCTCCGACCTCCTTTCTTGCGCGTGCGTGCAGCTCCTTTGCTCAGCCGCGGACGTGGAGGAACGGTGCGACTGTGGGCCCGGGGGTCCATAGATGACATGTCAGTCGATAGGTATTATTCTACTGTTCGAGGAAAACAAATAAGGTGCAGCTTAGGCGAAAAGAAAAGCGTTTTATTGCCAGTGTCTAAACTCCTAACAACGGAATGTGTCTCTAAGACCTTGTGTGTGGATACACGTGTGCTTAAAAACAGCCCCGCCTGTGTGTATAGCACTTGCTGTGTGTCAACGCTTTACAGGAGCTATTGCACTTAAGCCTCAGAACAACTTTATGAGGTAGGTACTGTTACTATTATCGGTTTGCAGACCAGGAAAGCAAGGTTCAGAGACTTCTAAGTAATTTGCCTTAGGAGACACAGGTAGCAAGCACGTGGATGAGTCCGCATCTGTCAGATTCTGGAACATGGGCCATTCTCTATCTTACTGTGCGATGCAACCTGAGCACACACAGGAGGCGTGGTTTCCCCTGCTCAACAATTGTGTGTGTGTGTGTGTGTGTGTGTGGTGTGTGCGGTGTATGCGTTCGCGCGCGTCTGGAGTTAAGGATTACTTAAGTGCGTTGGAGCTCTTCTTCCCGGTTCTAGGCTGCCTGTTACGAAGGCGCTTTCATCCAGTCCAGTTTCTCTCACTGTCTCACTTGTTCTTAAATGTTCTGCTCTGTTTTGGAGAGGTGAATGGGCAATCTTTGGCCATCACTTTGTGTGTGTGTGTATGTCTTTTAAGGGTGGTAAGGGAACCGAAACTACCAAAGACGGGTTTCCATTGTGCGACACATTAATAATAGTAGCTAGATATCACGTACTGACTGTAGTCTCGTTGGGTACAGTGCTAAATAAACGCTTTACGGATTGATGATGTTTGCTGCTCACAACAGCCCTATTAAGAAGGTATTATCGTCATTTTACACATGAGGACATCCGAGACTCAGATTAAGAAATTTGCCCCTAATCTTAAAACTAGTAAGTATAAGCACAAGACCTAGGCGAATCTGTGCTCACCTTCAAAAACTGGACGCTAAGATAGGACAATAAATGATGATAGAGTTGTCAGTATTTTAACACCTTCCTTAAATTTAAAACCTCTTTTAATCATTCATATGCTTGGGAGAGTTATCCTACCCGCCACCAGGCTAGTTAAGATGAAAATGAAAACAAAACCACTGCCATTGATTCTAAATTATTACATTTTAAGATTATTTTTGGTTACTTTTTTCCTGATCCCAAGTTATAATACATTTTCTAAAGAATCCAACAATTTAAAATCTGGGGTATTGCTACATTTTTTCCCAGTTTTTGTTGCAAAACAGCTTGTGATGGACATAACTGTAGGAGTATACAAAAACATATCATTGTGAGGGTTAAAGAAGACAATGGATATTGAAAGTGCCTGACGTACTAAGAAGTAAGGAAATGGGAGAAGGCTAGCATGATTTGCATTACTGAGGTAGAATTAGAAAAGAAATGGATTTTAATAATTTGAGATCATCAAGAAGTAACATTGCAGAGTAGTGTTTGTTTTACATCTCTATGGTTCTTTTGTGCACTGGTTAAGTGCGTGGACTCTGGAACCAAACTGCCTGGATTTGGATCTCGGCTCTGTTACTAACTAGCTTTGTGACCCTGTGTGAGTTACTTTTTCTCACTTTGCTCTTTTGTTATCTCACTGGGTTGTAAGGATGTAAATGAGCTAATATAGGAAAGGCATTTGAACAGTGTTTGGTATATTAGTAAATGTTAGCTATTGTGAGTCATTAACACTGATCTTTTTAAAACAACTTGTGTTTTAAAAAGTTTTAAGTTAACACCATTAGCAGTTAAGCATTTGGGTTCAAAAGTCCCTTAAAATGATAAATCAGCCTGACAAATTATTTTCGCCAAATATGAGAATGGTTTCTGCCAGATGAATAAGGATGTTAATTTAAGTCTTATAATTTCAAAAAAATATGCATATGGAAATGGAATAGTTTTATTGCTTTTTCTAATTATTAAAATTAAGGCGGGAGGGGAAAATCAGGCCAGTCTAAAATATAAAGTAAAATATAAAGTAAAAACTATCCAAATTTCTATCATCCAGAGATAAATACATATTCTTTGTTCTTTAAAAATGTATCTGTGGTGAGAACCAGCTAGTGGTAATCTGAATAAGTCGTATATTTGGGGAACTTATTTGCACAATTGTACTTGAACTTCATGAACTGGTAAATTTTTGATCTAGTCCCCTTTTAGATATATTCTGTCAAGAGAATTCTAAAGTGATGATGTTGTTGGTAAATAACATTTACTGAGTTCCTACTATGTGTCAGTTAGGCCTGTATATGCATTTTCCCCTTGAATCCTCATAGTAACTCTTGAGGTTGGTGTAATCTCCATTTTGCACAGACTAAAGTTTATATGGAGGTCACTTTTAGAAGAGTTAAGTCCTGTTTTATTTAAAATACTATTCAATAAACCAAAACCCTTTATAAATCTTCTCGATTCACCAAAATGGGAGAAAACAAAATCGAGTAACATGGTTCCCATGCCTGAACAAAAAGCCCAATTGGAAAAAATGTTTTGGAAAACCAAGAAGTTTATGTTTGACCACAAGGGGGTGCAAATAATTGAGCTGAATTTTAAAGGGGGAAAAAGTGCTTTTTACTTCAGATTATCAAATTCACAGGTAAAAACTAGTAAGAATACCTTCTCCAAACTTTAATACTCCACATAGTTATGTACTTTATGAAAAAAAGAAATCAATTATTTAGGTACTCAATTAGGGCAGAAGTTTTCAGCTTTCTTTCATCTTCAACATGGTGAATTCATCAGCCCTACTCCCACACCTTTCCACCCAGCCCATTTGTGTCTCTGCATACTCTACTTGTCTTAACAGTACAACTGAAGTCATAATTTAAAATCTGAGGTTTTACTTGGAAACTGGAATGCAATCACCAGTAAACGAATGGTAAATATGGGTAGTGTGGAGAACAGAGGTTTTGTAATTTCAATGCTTTCTTTCCCTCCTGCTGTTTCTAACGAGTAAGCTACAACTGATGGAATGTTGGCTTCAACATATTAACTTATTTAGATAAAATGTGAAAGCTATAGGTCTGTTCATCTTTTACAAAAGAATGAAGACTCTTGAAAACATTTTGAACAGTAACTTGAAAACTTAGTATACACTGGAGAATGTTTAAAAGACAATTTGCTTATTAGATGGGTTTTAAAGTAACTTTTATTTTCTTGTTGGTCTTGTTTCTCCAAGGTGGACTTAATTCTTAAAAAATATTTTTACTTAGAAATAATTTAAAATTGGCTTAGTCGGTTAAGAGTCCCATTCATGATTTAGGCTCAGGTCATGAACTCATGGGTCCTGGGATCCAGCGGGGAGTCTACTTGAGATGCTCTCCTTTTGCCCCTCCCCCCACACTTGCCCAGGCTCTCTCTCTCAAATAAATAAATAAATCTTTACAAAAGGAAACAATTTAAAATTTACAAAAAATTGCAAAAATAAAAATAGTTCAAAGAATATCCTTATCATTTGCTTGCTCTTGTGCAAGGTCTCTCTCTCACCACATACATGTATACTTAAATACATTTTTTTCTGAACTATTTGAGGTTAAGTTACATACATTTTGGCCTTTCACCCATGAATATTTAAGAGTGTATTTCCTATCAATTCATAAATTTACATTGAAATAATACTTCAATCTACCACCATATTCCAGTTTTGTAGCTTGATCCTTATTAGCATTTACCCCTCCAGTATAGGAGCCAGTCTGGGGTCAGGTAATACATTTAGATGTCATGACTCTTTAGCTTCCTTTACTTTGGGATATTTCCAGCCTTTACCTTTTATGACCTGGACATTTTTAAAGAATTTTTAAAGAATATAGCTTTTCACTCCACTGCATTTTTTTTTAAGATTTATTTATTTGAGAGAGAGAGGGAGCGCCTGAGTGGGAGGAGGGGCGCGAGGGAGAGGGAGAGAAGCAGACTCCCCACTGAGCATGGAGCCCAAGGCTGATGATCTCACAACCCTGAGACCATGACCTGAGCTGGATTAACTGTGGGAGCCACCGGGCACCCCTCCACCACTCTTTTTAATAAAACATTCCTTATTTTGTTTTTGTCTGATGTTTCCTCATGATTAAATTGGGGTTATACATATTCTCAACTGGACTATTACACAGGTGATAGATGTGTCCTTTGTAGGGTATCACTTCTGGAAGCACATGCTCCATCCTTGGTGATAGTAGTTTTGATCACATGGTCCATATGTGGACCGAATTTTCCATTGTATAGTTACTGTTTTTTTTTTCTTCCTGGCAATTAAAAAGCAAATTGTGGGGAAACATTTGAAGATATATCCTGCTCATCATCAGAATTCCTGTTTAAATTTAGCATCAATTATTGCTGATATAATTTTGCCATTACGGTTGCAAAATGATTCAACAAATCTAGTACTCTCTCCACATCTACCAAGTCAGTCCATAGCATTCTACTGTGAACAAAGAGCCCTTTCTTCTCTATTATCTGCATTAACTTATGAATTCCTGTTTTTCCACTCTGTATTTGCTTTGTTTTCTTGAGTTCTAGCTACATTTAGATATGTATATTTTGTACACTTTTTTAAAATGAATCACTTGAAGGTAAGTTGTTATGTCACGACCTTTCACCTCTAAATATTTAAGTCTATATTTAATTATTTTGGTATTTAAATTGTCCCAGATTAAGCTAGTGGGAGCACATTTAGTCTGGGTACTATGTTTTTGTGATATGCCTACATCTTTTTTTTTTTTGAGCACTTCCTTACTTTCTGGTATAATAAGATGTTCCATGTTCATCTTGTCCTTCTCTGTCCCAGCCTTGGAATTAGCCTTTTCTCTAAGGAGCCCTGTTTCCTGTTAGTACAGAATGGTATTAGAGACCAAGGCTAGGTATGCTCTTGCTAATGAAGTGTTTCTGCTTCTTGGATCTTTCATAAGACTGAACTAGGAAATATATACATACATACAGAATATTTATATACACAGACAAAAATATACATACATACAAATGTGCATACACTTATATATATATGTTAATGATATGGACTTAATTTTAAATTATCTTCATTATAATTATAATTGACAAGATACCATAGCAACATTTGTAAAGTTCTTAATAAAGGCAACAAGATCACAATCCACACAAACCACTCATACAATTTTCATGTTTCCTTTTAGTCAATATCTATACATATAATTTTAAAGGGTCATAGTGTGAAATCAGTTTTGTCTTTTTCCACTTAACATGTCA